AAAACAAGCTCATCTTGGTATCCTAATGCTCGAAGAAGTATTACACATGATTATGACCTAATTAATTATTAACGGAAGATTCCAGATGTCATGATTTATCATGACTTTCAAAAAATAGTTTATTTATCGTCTGTTTTTTCCTTGAAGATTTCATTAATGTAATATGTCACACAACATAATATGATGAGATAAAAAAAAATTAAGCCTGTCGAATACTTTCATGCAAAGCAATATAGGACCTATTAAAATATTATCATACTACTTTTAATGTAAGAAATATACGTGATATCAACAAAGATTAGATTGTAGATCATAGGTTCCTTAAAAGTTTAGATATCAAAGTTTTCATATCTTTCTGGGTTAGCAATTACAATTGCCTATTTCTTTTTTAATTAATAAATCAAACAATTTATATTCCTGAAGAATCGTTCGCCAAATCATGGTTTGAATATTTATTCACTTTCCTTTACTCTGGGATAAAATATACACACTTTTTTTTCCTTGATCTTCATTCCATTCTACATAATATTAATTATATATTCCACTTTGATGTATGAATAATCCACAGGCACGCGTCCGCCCCTTCCACCCTTCCACACACGCACATAAACCCCGTCAACTCACACGCGCACATCCAAACCCACACACACACACACACACACACACTGATGTAAAATAAAAATAGACTAACAAACAGCTATTCGACTAGTCATGAACTCAAAAAAGTCTTTTTCATTATTCATTTACTTATACTTTTTTGGCATGAGTATTACAATTGAAGGTACTATGTCCCATTTGCAGGCCAAAAAAAAATGAAAAGGTTAAATTCCAACGGCATTTGAAAGACAATACTAATTTAGAACTTCCCTATAAAAAGGGGGGGGGGCTTGAAAATGTCTTTAAGTGGGAAAATAACGACTATTAGTTGTCGAATCGACTTAGGAGTTATAGAGCCAGTAAGTTTGTACCGAATGGTCGTCCGTTTTATGCGGCCCAAAGATTCCATCTGTGTATTTTCGGTCATTACAAGAAGTGGGTTATTGATGTAGACAAATGATTATGTACCCTTTACAGCTCAGTTTATGTATGTTATTACCAAAGATGAAAACAGGTCAGTCAGTCACTCAATAGTGTCTGACAGTGAAGTCTAGCAAGTAAACGCGTTTCCTTGCATAATTTGAATATTAGGACACTGCTAACGTTTAAATTTCACAGATAGGACATACATGACATATTCATAATTCCTGCAAAGTTCTACAGAATTTGATGTTGGCTGCAAAAGGGACATAGTATCTTTAAGCTAATGAGATGTTATCTTTGCATTTATTCATAATAATAGAGCAATATTTTTCGGATAAAAAGATCGACCCTTTCACAGTTCCTTTTGTTGTTATCATCTTCGTGCTAGCTTTTATTCAAGGTTTCAAGGTTTCAAGATTTCTTTTTATTTCCACATGATATAACACAATCAAATGAATATGAAATATATACAAATTCAATAACATAATATTGACAAAACATTTTACAAATGATTATACAATTGTTTTAATTAATTGGCACAATGGTAAAACATAGTGGCGGAGTCTATTAAAAAAGCATGGCTTATGTTTTATAGACCCCTTGACAATAAAAGAAAGTTGCAAGTGCTCTGTAATTTAGTAAGAAAATATATGTATACAAATGCTTAGGTAATCCTACACCCTCCCCCCCCCCCCCCCACGCTACAAAACAAGAAGGTTGTCTTTATTATTCTTTAATATGCTACCAGAAGTACCAGTGTTGATATTGAAATACTTGCATACTGCAATCGTCCCTCTTATTTCAATTGTACGACGCAAATATGTGCCTTACATAAGCCAGACGACTTCCACATTGCACTACCACATCAGCGGATGAACATGGGAAAACGGGAACTTGCGAAATATTCTGATATATGGAATAAACTTCGTCTCTCCTATAGCAATAATTTGGATTGATAAACTTGATGTATAGCTTAGATGCTTGAGCCTTCAACCCCAAATCGGAAGGAAGGATTCAAATTCTATCTATCTCTCTCATTCTCTCTCTTTCTCTCTCTCTCTCTCTCTCTTCTATGCAGTCTATTGTGTTCCTTTGCTTTTAAAATTAGTTCCATTAGTTTATCACTTTGAACTGCCCTTACCTGTCGTATAAATGATTGTCGTATCTCAGGCCATTGGTAGTTCATAATTTCCGAAGCACTGATTCAAACATTTATAATTTGCCAGTCAAATCGTCTCATCAAAATGCATATAGAGAAGTATTATACACATGCATTAGGAATTAGATGAACATTTAAATGGAAACAAAAAAAAGGAACCATTTTCAATCCAATCTTTGTTTTATTCTATTGAATATGTCGTGCTCGGTTTTTTTTTTATAAAGCTATAGACAATTATAACCGTGAAATTATTAGAAATTATGTCACCGCAGAACCAAAGTTTATTTACGCATGCGTAATCGATTCTCCTAGCACATTTTTTTTGGGTTGCAATAATAATCAGAAATTCCACCACTATATGTAGAGTAGTTTGTAACATGTATAATCCTTTAGGGATTTCGAAAATATGTTCATGGGGGTGTAGCTCAGTGGCAGAGCAACTGACTTATAATCAGAACTGGTCCCGGGTTCGATCCTCGGTACCTCCAAGGGGATTTTTTCTTCATGTCAATCCTCTTCAATCTCGTTCATTTTTCTTTTCCGGATATAAGGATATTTCTTTCTTTTTTCATTAGAGAGAGGGGGAGAGAGAGAGAGAGTAAAACCGTATTATCGTTGACTCAATGTAGATGTAAGGATAAGTTTCATTTAGGTAGGCTGTGGCGTGGCGTGTGTTCACCTTTGAGGCGGCACTGAAACGATTGGGGACACCAGTATTTCTCGAAAAATGAAATGCAAATTTCCCTTTCCAAACGTCCATATTTCTCCATGACCCTCCTAACCCCTTTACACCATCCCTTCACTACCGCCCCAAATCCATCTCTCTCTCTCCCTCTCTCTATCTCCCTTCCTCTCTCTCTCTCTCTCTCTCTCTCTCTCTCTTATCCTTCTTCTCCCTCTCTCTCCTCTCCTATCGTTCTCTCTCCGCCCTCTCTCTATCATAAATCCACACGTCATAAATATCTCCCTTTTCTCATATCGCCACACTCCAGTGTCCTCACCCTAACCGACTTAGCCATCTTTGTAAACCTCAACCCCCAAACTGATAATTGTTACTAAACTGTCTATCGCGTCACCATAAAAACACAGGATATTGCGAAATGTTCTCGTTTAAAATACCCTTCGATCCTCCTCGGAATATTATGGATTCATAAACCTCATGATTATGTCGAGGGGGTATAGCTCAGTTGGTAGAGCGTTCGACTTAAAATCGAAAGGTCTTAGGTTTCGAATCCCAATACCTCCAAAAGAGGATTTTTCTTTTCCAAGGAATAATCAACGGTGTGTAATAATGGCACAATATTATGTCTGTCACATCCGTTCGGACATCTCTTTCCCCTTGTCTTTATTTCACCTAATATATGCTTTTGTTGCATATGAAATGTTTTTTCGCTCTCCTGAAAATTCCTGATTTTTGAGATACGAGGTATTGTCACCCTATCGATGAATATCTTTTATATTCGGACTTCACAACAAAATCTACGAAGAATTCTTACCTTATCCTTTTCTTGAGTAAAGACTGGTTAAAACATCACAGAAAATCTGAGACACTGTCTGTAAATCTTCGCTGAAAAGTTGCCTTAAAAAGGCTGAATGTTACGATCATTCGGGAATCGCACACACACTGCACAGTATGTGGTCTCCGCGCTCGCACAAAGAAATTTTGTACACGTAAACGAATGGGGTTCTCAGCCAAATTTATTCATGCGGCCTTTACCCGGGGCAACGGGTATCTTTTAAAAAAACTATTGACCGGTACGCGGGCATGGCTAAATTCACGACTCCAATTTCGACTATTCAGATGGCTATATTTTTGAAGAGAGGTATATAATAGTTCATAAGTACTAAATCAAAAATGTTTAATTTACTAGTCATCATCTCATCTAAAGCACAAAGAGAAGAATTGTACATGTATTACGAAATAGATGGCTCTTTAAAATGGAATTTTAATCCTAACCCTAATCCTATTAAACCTTTGACGAAAATTCCCCTAGCAATTGTCACAGGAATAAACGTCGCACCTGGAACATCATCATTATCCACCAACCATTATCCACAGAAGGCGTTCCTTAAAGACAATTTATACTCGTCCGTTTCCATGTCATAGTTCGCATAGTTCACAGGGCTTCTTTAAATTGCTACGCAGTAGGCCTACTAGTTGTTTGAGCATAAATCTCGCCGCAGAGAGAGTCGGTGTCCCATCGGGAAATTGCTGCAAGGGATTGGGAAAGCTTTCTCATGTCTTTTTGATTCGGAATTCATGATGATGGTTGGGGTTGTTCTTGTGAAGTGAGTGGAAGATGTTTCTGGAGGGTAAGCACATTACGTAAGGCCTTCCAGTAAAGTGAAGTCCACTCTTGGGTATTGATACAACCTGACATCGTGATATAGACTACCGAAGGCTGGCAAAATCTCCATGCTACGAATGGTGTTTTTAGAACATTGCGTTTCTTCCTTTCAGTGGTTTAATTCCTCTTCTATCTTAATTTCATGACCAAACTGTTCAGCATTTTAAAAACCTCTTGTCTGTACTGTTTAATGATGATGAAATAGACCACAGAGTTGGACCAGGTTGTACACGATAATATATATACAAAAGTCACTTGAGCTTGACGTGAAACTGGATGACCGAAAATCGGTTCCACGATTTCCGAAATCGTATAAGGAATCCAGCATATGAAATATGAACCGGTAATTGCAATTACAAAAGTTATCGATTTCAATTTCTTTTTCCTTGCTGCTAATGCATGCTTTGCTATTTGGTAATCGTTTTTCATAACCTGATCTTTACACGAAATCGTAGATACAGACGGGTTGATACGATTGTAGAACTTTCGGATCTGGAATACAGCTTCTTCACGTCGAGCCATATCGTTGGTGTGTTTCCAGGCAGTTCGAATTACGATCAAGTAGAGTACCGTGATGATAACCGCTTGAGCCCAGAACGAGATGGTATAATTAAAAATGGCTATTGGTAAGAAGTCTTTATCGGTTGAGTCCATGATGCACACCCCAAATTCTCGAAAGCGAACGATGTCAAAGGAGTGTCCTGCGAATTCGAATTCAAGAAGGCCAATGATGACCATGCTGCAACACGTCGCTACCAAGACAGCAACACAACGTCGTAGAGTAACAATTGACGGATATCGAAGGGGTCGGATTATTAAGATAAACCTGTCGATGTTGAGCAGTGTCACCGTTGCTGATGAAAAGGCTAGCACGAATCCCGCACAGGTTCCAATCGCTTTACAAGCTAATTCACCATAAATCCAGTAACCCGATATAGAAGGTTTGATCATAAGGATATGTATAAACGTGACCATAAGATCAAAGATGGCGAGAGCGATATAAAAGACTTTCGAAGTATCTGCCAAATCATTCAGCCTAGGTATAACGGTAAGGTTGATGGTGTTGCAAGAAATAGAAAGTACTGTGCATACAACAAGAAACCAGGCTGCAGGGATCGGATGAATATGGTCCCATGATTCAGTACCGGCTGCAGATTCTGTCGCAGACATGATTGATTGTTGATATTAGGCTTCTTTTTGACAAGATCTACCAAAGTATCAATATGGACATCAGTGGGTCCACAGAAACCTTACTGAAAGAACTAAATGGATTTACTTCCATGCATGTATAGACTCTCGTAGTTGACTCTGTCTATGCTCAGTTTGCTCGACATTGGTTAAAACATGTTGCGTACTGACTGCAAGCCTCCATCTAAACCCTGTGTCATAATGCTTTGAAGTCAGTAGCGTTGAAAATTTCGGTACAACCGCTATGATGAAAAAGCTCAAATTTGATAGTCCTTCTGGATCGATCAAATTGAATGATTACTTTCTGCCTCATTAAGATCAGACCGTACAAACAGGAAACCGGTCACCAGGCGCGTATGCAGGATTTATTCGAAAGGGGTGTTTTAAAATGGGGTTGGGGGGGGGGGGGTATTAAGGTCAACTTTTTTAGATCACCTATTACCACAATTGGGTTTTAGTTATGATTATTTTTTATTTAATTTTAAAAAAGTTGAGGGAGGGGGGAAATCCTCCAAAATACACCCTACAAAATTGAGGGGGGTTTGACCCCCCCCCCTGCGTTTGCGCCTGTCTGTCACTGTTAATAACATTCTTGTCTGCCCTCATAACGAAGGGAAAGTGGAAAATGCAATATTCTTTTAACGTCTTTCAACCTTTCATTAGATTGCAATCCACAATATTGCCAAGTGCAAATATAGGCATCAACATAGAATCACTTTAAGCCAACCCTTATCATGCAATGTCACTCATCGAGTAATTAGCTTTTCATGAATAAGTGTCAGGTAGAAGAAAAGAAGTCCTCGCTCACATTTATGACACTCATCCGAACTTTCTCGTCCAAACTTTCTCATTCTTTCTATTTTTCTTGTGCGCCTCGGAATAGCATATTGTCTAGATAGACGGCGCTATACAAATGCCTATTATTATTATTTATTTTAATCAGGACTTCAAATTCTAAGGACCACTCTGACTCTTGACAAGGACAAAATGCTCATTTTGGTTCCCTACTCAGTGGCGGATCAATGGGGGTTAGGGGGTTACCCCCCCCCCCCCCCCCCCCCCTCTTGGGCTGTCAAGTGAAAATGTGAAACGCATAGAAAAACGCCATCCTGTGTCCAGACCCAAAAATCGCCAGACCACAAATAGATTAGCATAGTAACATACACATGCTTTAGCAGTCACGCAAAACAAACACTCAAACATTATTATTCAATCAAATCTGAGAATGTATACTATTATCTAGATCTAGTAGGAATAAATCATTGTTAAAATTTTCCATAAATCGGGGTTAACAAAATTATTCCACCATTATGACCAACAGTGTCTATAATTATCAACGGAAGATTCCAGATGTAATATTTTATCATGTATTTCAAAAATATCTTAATTATCCTCTGTTATTTCCCTTAAAGATTTAATTTCATTCCTTATTTTATATATATCACACATCATAATACTGCTGTCTGTCACGAAGCGACAGTGACCACCTTCAATTTCTCTTTACAGCTGTTCTCCATTCAGCTCGCTGACATGCAGCAGTTGTCCAAGTCTTGATTTCGGTTTGCCTCAGCTTAAGGTTCCTCTTGGCCGTGTCCTTGTAGCGAAGCCGTGGTCGACCAATCCCTCTTAATTCGCCAACGGGTAGTTGTGAGAATAGTATTTGCTTCATATAGTAACCTCTCAAAGGGCATACTGATGACATGGCCCGTCCCCGTAGGTTCTTCCTCATCAGTAGGCCCTCAATACAAGGTAGGTTCGCTCGCTCTAGTATCTCTTTGTTGTCCTTCCGTGTGATTCTAAGGATTGCTCAGAGGTGTCTCATCCTGAAAGCGTAAAGTTTGTTTACCTGACTTTTGTAGAGAGTCCAGCTTTCCGCACCGTATAAGAGAGTGGATAGGACGACAACCCTGTATAGTTTGCACTTCACTCTTGTTGAGACAGGATGATTGGTCCATAGCCTGATTCGCAGTCTTCCAAAGGAACTACTGGCATTGGACATTCTTTTCACCAGCTGAGAGTCGATGCGTCCGTCCTTGGATATAGTGCTGCTGAGGGAGGTGAAGCCATCTACCTGGTTTAGAGCTGTCCCATCCACAAGGATCTCCTCCTCTTCTCGGTGGTCTGTACCTGGTTGGAGTAGTACTACAGTCTTAACTTCTTTGATGATGATGAAAATACATCTATACCATGTTGTAACTGCGCATCTGCGTATGAGCAACAAGAGCAATGTCATCTACATAGAGAAGTTCCCTCACGAGAATATGTGTAGACTTCGGCTTAGAGTTGAAGAGTGCGTCATTGAAGAAGTTGGCGCCTCGACGTGATGATACGCCCTCCTCATAGTGCGCAAAGGCCTCCTCCAGCATCGCTGAGAGGAAGATGGAGAACAGCGTAGGGGCCAATTACACACATCCTTACACCGTTACTTACAGGGAAGCTATCAGATATTTCGCCTGCTTCCTTTACTTTATCCATCATACCCGGGTGTAGTTATACTATCATTCCGGTGAACTTCTCAAGGCAACCATACTTTCGGAGATGTTGCCATAAACCTTTTCTACCAACAGTATCAAATGTATTGGTGGAATTCACAAAGACCACATAGCGAGATTGGTTTTGCTGGATACACTTCTCATGTAATTGTCTGAGGCAGAAGATCGTGCCTACAGTGCTCCGGTTGTTTCGGAATCTGCATTGTATCTCTGGCAATTACATCCATTGTTATGTGTGCATTCAATCTGTTCAGAAAGATCTGGGCAAAAACTTTCCCTGCTATCGACAATAGCGATATTTCTCTGTAGTTTCCACAATGAGTTCTGTCTCCTTTATTTGTTTTAAAAAGGGTGACAAAATTAGCATCCTTCCATTCCTGAGGTACGGAGCCTTCTGCCCATGCTTGTTGTATCATCATTAGTAAACTGTTGGTTAGTGTGGCTCCTCCGTGCTTCCATATCTCGCTTGGTACCCAATCCACTCCGGGGGCCTTGCCATCACCCAAGGAGGCAATTGCCAGGTTTAGCTCTTTTCGTGTTGGAATATCATCGAGTGCAGTAACTACAGGTCGCTGGTTGATCCTATCACGCGCTGCAGGCTCGATATCTCCTGACTGGTTGTTATCATACTACTTTGAATGAAGGAATGAACGTGATATCCATTAAGCTTTAAGTGTTGTTCATAGTTTCCTTACAAGTTTAGATATCAAAGTTTTTATATCTTTCTGGGATGGCAATTACAAATTGCCTATTTTTGTTTTAATTATTAAATGCCACAGTTTATATTCATGCAGAAACGTTTGTCAAATCACGGTTTGAAAATGTATTTACTTCCCTTTACTCAGGTATAAAATATATACACTTTTTTCCGTAATCTTTAGTCGATTCCATTCAACATATACAATATATTCCACTTTGAAATGAAAATTATACACACACGCGCGTCCGCCCATCCACCCATAGAAATAGACTAACAACCAGCTATTCGACTAGTCATGTACTCAAAATGTCTTTTTCATTCTTCATTTGATTATATTTTTTTTGCATGAGTATTACAATTTTATATTAGCATTTATTCATGATGGAGCAATATTTTTCAGATGAAAAGATCGTCCCTTTCACAGTCTATTTTGTTGTTGTCAACTTCGTGCTAGCTTTTATTCTTTAATAGGCTACCAGTGTTGATACTGAAATATTTGCATACTGCAATCTGCCCGCTTATTTCAATTTCACCACGCAAATATATGCCTTTAATATAAGCCAGGCGACTTTCACATTGCACTACCACATCAGTGAAAAACGGGAAATTGCGAAATATTCTGGTATATGGAATACACTTCGTCTCTCCATATAGCAATACTTTGGATTGATAAACTTGAGGGTATAGCTTAGATGCTGGAGCTTTCAAACCCAAATCGGAACGAAGGATTCAAAATCTCTCTCATTCTCTCTCTTTCTCCCTCTCTCATTCTCTCTCTTTCTCCCCCTCTCTCCCTCTCTCTCTCTCTCTCTTCTATGCAGTCTATTATGTTCCTTTGCTTTTAAACTTCGTTCTAATGGTTTATCACTTTGAACTGCCCTTACCTGTCTCGTAATAAATGGTCGTATTTCGGGTCAATGGTAGTTCATAAAGTACTTATTCAAAAATGTATAATTCACTAGTCAAATCATCTTATCAAAAGGCATATAGAGAAGAACCATGCATGACTTAAATCCCTTAAACAGTTATTGAACTCATAACCCTTAACCTATTAAACCTTTCGCGAAAATTCCCCTAGCAATTGTCACAGAAATAAACGTTGGGTCGCACATGGAAAATCATCATTAACCACCAACCATTATCCACAGAAGGCATTCCATAAAGATAATTTATACTCGTCTGTTTCCATGTCATAGTTCGCATAGTACAGAGGACCTCTACTAGTTGTTTGTGCATAAATCTCGCCTCAGAGAGAGTCGGTGTCACATCGGGAAATTGCTGCAAGAGATTGGGAAAGCTTTCTTATGTATTTTGGATTCGGAATTCATGATGATGGTTTTCCTTGTGGGTTGTTTCTGGACGGTGTGCACATTACGTAAGGCCTTCCAGTAAAGTGAAGTCCACTCGGGGTATCGATAAAATTCTGACATCGTTAAATGTAGACTGTCGAAGGCTGTGAAATTTCCCATGCCACGAACTATATTGTTTTGAATATTATGTTTCTTCCTTTCAGGGTTTTAATCCCTCTTCCATGTGATTTTCATGACCAATTTTGTCATCATTTTAAAAACTTCTTGTCTGTACTGTTTAATTACGGTAAAATAGACCACAGAGTTGGACCAAGTTGTACACGATAATAAATATAAGAAAGTTACTTGAGCTTGACGTGAAACTGGACGACCGAAAATCGGTTCCACGATTTCCGAAATCGTATAAGGAATCCAGCATATGAAATATGAACCGGTAATTGCAATTACAAAAGTTACCGATCTCAATTTCTTTTTCCTTGC